CATCTTCAATTAACAGTCAAGATAAAAACAGCACTTTTGCCTCTAAACTATTGATTTTCTTAACCAGGACTTCACAATTCTTAATTGTTAAGGCCCTTTTAATTCTTTACATACTATGGCTCTTTAAATACTTAAATACTACCTGGCCAAGTAGCCAGTTATCTAAGTTTGATTTCTTATATGACAGAGTTGAAATAAAGGTAGCCCATTTGCAAATAGTTCACAAAGGCTGAAGAGCTCAAGAGTGAGAAATGAATGATAGGTTCAGAGTATAATGATGACAGATTTTCAGATGCTAGCTTAGGACAGGGAAGAGACAAGGTGAACTAGTTCAAGATATTATAAACATATGGTATTGCTTTCAAAATATCAGCAACGGCTATTCACTGCACACTTTAATGTTTGCGAAGCATTCTACTTTTGTCATCTCACTTGATCTTCACAATAATCCTGTGAGATAGGTGCTATTATCATCCCCATTTTACAGGTCAGGAAACTGAGGGTGAGAAAGATTGGTACCACAGTTAGTAAGTATACGAGGCTGGACTCAAACTCAGTGCTTCCTGGCTTCAAGTCCAACACCCTCTCCACTCATTCTGCTACCTAGCTGCCATTTTGTAATGAAGGACAGACACAACGATGCTTTATATTTTTATATTATAGGCCAACTTTACAGGGCTACAGTGAATTGATTGAATGAGGATAACTAAAAGAAATGCCAGTGAACGAACTATAATTTATCAATTCTTAGAGCCACATCTCTTTAAATGACACTCTTGGGCATAATAAAGGCATGAAATGAAGGTGCTGGACAAAGTGAGAGCTGGAGATAATGAATTTTCAGACCCTTCTCTGTTTCACAAAGGGCAAGTTCAAAGAGCCAAGTTCAAAGAGCCTATGACTTTCTTAATAAAAGGTACGTAATTCCCAATGGCTTCCTCCTTCATTATGTAAGCATGGGAGGCAACTGAATCAATGAATCAATCAATCATCCCACCCCATACCTTAGGCGTGATGCCTCTATCAGGTATATACATCCACTACATCAATCAATCAAAAGTGTGAGTGAGGCTTGAACAAGGACTCCACATCTCTGTGAATCAATCCATGGAGGGCATTTCAATTAGGAGTGATAAGAAATCTGTTCAGATTGGTTGAGAAACTGGTCACGTCCTACAGAACATGTGTAAAACCAATGAGCTCTGGTACCTTAGAGCTGAAGCCTTTTGGCCAAACTCCTGGGAAGGAGTCACTTGGGCAAAAGAGAAGAGCATTGGCCCCTTCCTCATTCTTGGCCTTGGTCTTCTCTCTACTCTTACTTGTTGATTTGAGAAAGAAGGACAAACAACAACTCTTAAATGTATGGGGACCTTTTGAATTTCAAAATATCAAAGAGTTTAGACTTTCCATCAGCCTCTTAGCAGCATCCCGGTGGAGAGCAGTGACTGGGAAGTCAAGGATAGCCTGAGTGTGATGAGAAGAGTAAGAAGAGAAGAAAAGAAGCATTTATTAAGGACCTACCATGTGCCTGGCACTTTGCAAGCATTTTATAAATATTATCTATTGGATTCTCACAACAACCCTGTGAGGTAAATGCTATTATTTTCTCCCATTTTACAGTTAAGAAAACTGAGGCAGAAACAGATTGACATGCCCAGAGTCATACAGATAGTAAATATCTGAGGCAGGATTTGAACTCAAGCCTTCCTGACTCCAGGGCCAGAGCTGTATCCACTGAGCCATTTCTCTGCCTAAGAAAGGCCTAAGAAAAGCTCAATAGCTGAGAAGCCACACCATACTTAATGGGAACATCTTAAAACTCCAATAACAATGATTCTCAGGAACTGAGATTTACCCTTTTGTCACATGTATCCTCTAGCCTTAAACATACTTTCCTCTGGACACTATACATACTTACTGTACAATGTGTCAGACTTGGGAGCGGAATGTTTTTGTACCAATTCTTCAGCAACCAATATCGTTGTTGTTCATCCTTCATTGTCAAAGAGGACCAATGACATCATGGGATAATGCTCCTGAATTGGATTTAAGTGAGGCAGAGTTGCACAAAGTCACCAGCCTCGCTCTCTCTTCCAGAGTCATCAAAGTCCAATGGCAGCACAAAAGATGACCAGCAGTGACCCAGGGTGCAGTGGATGACCTTGGCATCTTCAATGTCTGACCAAGCTCTGAGTGCTCCACAGGGCCTGCTTTAGTCACCTTCATGGCTATTAGAACAAATTGTTCTCATCCACCTATTCTGCAGAAGAAAGTCTTCATATACTTGGGGTAGACCCCCCCCCAATTCACTAACACGTTTGAGCCATGTTGGTTACTCTCAACCTGGTTTAGCCCATCTGCTGGGATGGTTTACTGCATGCTACAGCTTCTTGGAGCCACAGGTGTGAGTGGAGTACCAGGTAGAAACCAAAGGTGGATGAGCAACCCCTCAAAGCAGAAGTGTTAGTCCTCCCTGAACACACCAAACACCCTTGTTCTTATTATACTACCTTGGTAAATATTCGTTTCTAAAAGTCTGGCTAACTTATTGGTGTCAACTGACAACCACAGGGGACGTCCATTGGTGGGGACTTGTGACACCATTAAAAAGACACCCTCAACCTCTCAGAGCTACCCCTAGAACCTAGAAGGGAGACACTGCGGCTGCAATATCCGCAGATCTGGCCTGCTAGTGCCAGTGGAGGGTAAGAGAACCGCTCCTGGACATGGGTTACTGGAGTCTATAACATCTGGATGCAGTTCAACATGGTAACCTCTATACGTGTTGGGAATGGAATCATGAATGCATAGTTTTTGTGACTTGTAGTCAAGGGGAGGGGGCCCTGATACCTTGGTATCAGGGTGTCATGGTATAGTGGAAAAAACATTGGTCTGGAGTCAGAAGACATAGATTTGAGTCTTGGCATGTATTTATCATCTTTGTGATCTCGGGCAAGCCATTTCTCTGAGACTTGTTTGCTCAACTGCAAAATCAGACTACTACTATTTTCTCTGTCTACCTCATGGAATAGTTCTCAGGAAAAAGCCTTTGCAAATCTTGAAGTGTCTACCAAAATGCAAGCTGGTACTACTACTACTGCTACTGCTGCTGCTGCTGCTGCTACTACTACTACTACTACTACTACTACCACCACTACCACTGTCATTTACAACAATAATAAGAATAAGCAGCTAGGTGGCATAGAGGATAGAGTGCCAGGCCTGGAGTCAGGAAGACTCATTTTCCTGAGTTCATATCTGGCCTCAGACACTTATTAGCTGTATGACCCTGGGCAAGTCACAAAGTCTGTTTGCCTTGGTTTCCATATCTGTAAAATGATCTGGAGAAGGAAATGGCAAGGCACTATAGTATTTTTGCCAAGAAAACTCAAAATGGGGTTTTGAAGAGTCACATATGACTGAAAAATGACTGAACAACAACAAATAAAAATAAACCTGTAGTACATACTACATAAGGTCATCATAAAAGTCAAATGAGTTAATGTAATCAACACAATGTAATGTAAATAATCTTCCAGCTCCATTTAAAACCACAGACTAAGTTTAGTCTTGAACAATTCTCACACAAATCTAGCTCATGCCTTCACCCAGGATTTCTCATAAAAATAACAGAATTTAGCTTATGCCTAGGCTCCACAAAAAAAAAGAAAGGATCTTCAGCAACTATATGCAAACATTCAGGTTAATGGAACATATAGACCAGTCTTTACTTAACTTTGCCCCCCCCCCCAAAAAAAACCTAAAACAAAAACAACCCACCAAGGACTTTCACCCATCTTTAAGCAGTCAAGGCAACTCCCTTTTCCCTCCAGTAAATTCCATGTCCCAGAAGGACCTATAAAATCCTTCAGATTTATCACCAGTGATGCACTGGAGCCAGTTGGAACCAGCTCACGAGAAGCAATTGTTAAATTTTCAATGTGAGCACAGACATCTTGGAAATAGGCAAACTAATCAGGGCTTGATTTATTATTCTGTTGACTATAAACACAGTCTTTTAAAAGTGACGGATAAAATGTTAATAATGCAGATTAAACTTAAAGGTGTGTCATGCATACATTCCCCACCATCACCACCACCAGAGAGCTGGTTGTTAAATATCAGCACATCCATGTAATACAATACCACCCAAGGTTTTCCCTAATCCTCTAAAGGGGGAATTACTTCAGCATTGAGAGCCAGTCAAGTCTTCTCCCCTAGCCTACTAGTCACAGGCCTTGGTACACTTCCCAAGTTGTGGCTCCACCTAGCTCCAGTTCCTACTTGGTCCAAGAACCCTTCCTTCTACTTGATTCTCTTCACCTGGGGCGAGCTCCAAACATTATCTGGTTTCCTAGAGGGATGGCATGGATATGTGTGTGATCTTCCCTCCAGGGAACCAAATCTATGTCTGTGTGTAGCCCCTCTGCCCTGTGTGTCCCCATTCTCCAGTCTCCAACCCCTCCTAAAACTCTTAAAAGCCAAACTTTAAAGTTGTAGTTCGAATTAACTCATTGAGAATCATTCGTCATCATCAGTGTGGTCCTGAAGAGAAAACAAATACCCAGGCAGTAACCTGCTCTGAAATCTAAAGGTCAACGGAGTCCCATGCCACTGCTTAGAGCTGTATGGCCACCCTTTCCAGGACAAAGAGAAAATTCAAACAGAATCCTTTCCTAACTGAAAAGAAGCCGTGCTGTCCAATGTAATCCAACTTTATTCTGGAAATACAAGGCACAAAAATAACAATGCCACTAGTCGTCTTCTTTTTTTTTTTTTTTTAAAGAAAGATGATTTTAATATGCTAATGTGTTGGCCTCTTATTTACGGAAACAAGAACAGGTTTAGATGTGTAAGAGAAATCGTTTCAGCTCCTCAGGAAGAAGTAGTTCACTTATTCTATGATGCTGTTTGATTCCAAAGCACTTCCTAATGCGTAGTCGGCAAATCTGCATCAAAGACAGAGGCCCTGGAGAAAGAGGCCACAAGATAAGTTATACACCTGATTTCATGGACCTAAGATTCGTTTCTGTAAAGCACAGAATAGGTTACAGTTTAATGTTAAGGTACAAACAGCCCAAACACATCTTACATTGATTTTATTTTTTTTTAAAGGAATTTTCAGATTATTTTGTCTTCCCATTCTCCAGGTTCAACCAATCCACAGAACCCCTTAGGTCTCGTTTTAGAAAGGGAAGAGAAAAGACAGTTTAAAGCTCAACCTTCCTCCCAATCTTAAAGGGACTAATTTATGAATTACTCAGCTCACAAAATAGTTTCCAATAAAAAAGCAATTTAAACTGATTTAAAAAAAAAAACCTGAAAGGAAAAAAGCTCATTGAATTGAGTACAATCAGTTTTACAACTTGGAGTTATAGTTGAATAGGTAATTTTAAGATCTCTAAGCACAGCATGTTAGTACAATGAATGGAATCTATTTATACCCCAGTTACAATTATATGTTCTAAAATATTTGAGAATTGTTATACCCAACACTTCAGTTCAAAGTGGAGACTGTGCTTTTATAATCCTTTCCATACTCTGGGGTGATAAGATGGGAGATTCTACTCAGAATTAGAGGAACAATTCCTTCTCAGTCATAAAAGAAACAACCCATACACCCCAGGGAACTCTCCTAAGGATGGTCTGATGGGCCCTAGCTCTCTACCAAATCACCACTAAAAGGTTTATAAAGTGCTCTCTTTCAGATACTTCCAAGAGATGGGCAAGTATCATTCTCTCCACTTTGAACCTTAACAATTACAAAATAATTGTATCCAAAAATCAAAGGAAGAATTGGGGTGGGGTATCAGCTGCTCCATGAGCCCCCAATTCAGAAAAGGCCTCTGCAGTTTGCTGTTCAAAAAGCTTAGGTGGTAGAATCGTAAGTCCCCACGATAGCAGGTCCTAGTATCATTGGAACCTCAGAGACCATTAAATCCAACCTCCCTCATTTATCAGATAAGGGAACTGAGGCCCGAGGAAAGAAAGTTACTTGCCCAAGGCCAAATAGGATAGTGTCAGGAGTAGAATTTGAAACTAGGCCCCTGAACTCCTGAGTCAGTGCTCTTTCCTCTACAGCACAATGAATTCAAAGAATATATTAATGAATTACAGAAAGTACCCATTATTGTCCTTTAATGCCAGGCAGCATTCAGAGGTTTCTTCTATACCATTTTGTTGAGGGTGATTCATTCTTCACACTTCTTTCTGTCCCACTAGCAAACATTTCTCTAAAAGCTTATTGGGGGGAGGAGAATGGCCTTGAAATGCAGCAGGTTATCATCCAAAGAAGAAGACAAATTTGGAAGGAAGGAGGAAAAAAGGAAGGAAGGAGGAAAAAAATCCAAGTTCTGTGAAGCCCATATACAGGAAAATAGTCATCCTCTCCGAACATGGCTGGATTTCACTTAATTTATTCCCTGTCATCCACACAGCTGAGAGTGGGTGGTAATTTAATTAATTTCTTTTCCCCCAGGTACAGAGGAACAGATGGCCTGAAGAAAATATGATGGAGGTGACACTGAGGGACAGAAATTGCCATGTTAAACCAGTGGGCATGACTTTCAGCAATGCTTGGCCCAGCCTCCTTATGTGGTTCCAACCAATTGAGAAATCACCTCATTGGAACTCACTCCAACAAAGGGATTTGGGAGACCAAAAAAAGATGAAAAGATTCTGTTCAGCAGCAAATGATCTTTTTATGAACCAATGGAACTGTTACAGACCTTGTCACCATTCAAAATGAGACTAACCAGGACCATGAGCTTATTTCTACATAAAAAGGAGGGGAAAGGGACTCATGGAAGCCTCGGGGCCTATCAGGAAAGTCAGGGTTTTTGTTTTGCTTTGGTTTGTTTTTTTTTTTAATGCACACAGCACTCCTCCTCCCCAAACCTTTCAGTCAGTCACAGGTGTGCATAGCACATTTCATTAGGGTATACCCCCAGGGAATTTTTTTTAAGGTGAACATTTATTGGATCTGTTTAATCATAAAGGAGATTATTTTAATTCTCACCATGCTCAAAAGCCTAAAGTAACTTTTAATTAATAGCTCCATTTTGCTTTAAAAATAAACACTTAAAAAGGAGATACAAAATACCTATTTTGTGAGATATTAGGTGATGCCTGGACACAGCCAGCACACCCCCATATGCATACCTATCCTTTTACTGTGGATTTAATTAGTATTTTATGAAAAGGTAAAGTGATATTGCCCAATCTTGGCTCCATTTTGATTATGAAGAGGTAAGAGGGTAAGATTGTTTGGAGATATTATTCCCCTGCACTGTATGAACTCAGATTGCCATTGGCATTGCCCTCATTATGATCCTTTAATAAGTATAGCTGAGTAAAGAGAGGAAGAATAATCAAACAAACACAGGTGGATCTGAAATATGACCATCTCACACCTGGCTACTACATACCCCAGAGGCAGATCATTGAGGAGACTGGCAAAGTGGAAAGTCCCTTGAAATGGAAGGCAGAAGCCAGGGTTCAAGTCCTTACAGCTGTTACTATCAGTATGACCTTGAGTAAATCACTTTAATCCCCTGAGGCTCACTTTCCTCATCTCTAAAACGAGGATCATAGTATTACCTCACATAGAATGTTAATTCCCAAGGTGGCAGTGCCTTGTAAGAGGCTATAGAAATGTGAGCTATTAATATAGGTACCTAAGATCTGAGAGGTAGGCAGCATGGTATGGAGAACAAACATCTAAACTTTGGGCCAGAAGACATGGGATTAAAAGCTGGCTCTAACCCTTGTTAGAGATGTGGCAAGCCACAAATGAAAAATGTTCTGAGCCTGCCTGTCTCACTTTACTCATCTGTAAAACAGGGATGAAAACAGTACCTACCTCTCAGGATTGTGGTGAGGATAAAATCAGATAATATTTGCAAAGTGTTTTGCAAATTTTAAATTTAAACATCTACAGAAATATTATCATATTATTATTATTATTATTGTTATTTCTAAGCCTTCCTGAGACATAGCTGGGGAACATTGTAAAAAATCATAGTTGAGAGGGTACAAAAGCAAGAAACAGGGTCTGCCAATCTCCATGAAATACCACAGGTGGCTTTTGCCAGGATGCTAAATATGGCCCCTGTGCCCAGGGGCTGGCAAGCTGTTGCCATTTTCCAGCCACTCCTGGGAAACTTCAGAAATTTCAGGTACCCCATGGCCCACTTGGGATTGACAATGCCTATGACAGCAAAATCAATGGTAAGCCTTATAAGTTCATCCATTTAGTTTCCTCTTCCATGCACCATTCACCTTCTAAAAAGACCCTAAGTAGAGCCAACCCCATGAAGAGGTCAAACAAGTAATGCTCTAGGTAGGATTATTTGAAAAGTCCAGAATAGCCTTGCCCAAGGCCATCTTTCCTACTACCTTGCCTTCACACCTAAGTTCCCACTATTAAAATTACTCCTTTAGCTTAAGGCACTGTCTCCAGAAAGAACTAAGACGTGACTAAAGAAATAGATATCTAATGCCTAAAAATGGACACAGATTTTAATTTTAAGGGTAGTATAAAACTGACTATGTTATAGTTGGCTTAAAAAAACCTGGAGTTGCAGGGATGATATTCATTCCAGCTAAGTTGTGGTACATGAAAATGAGGAGCAGCTAGGTGGTGCAATGGCTGGAGCACCAGGCTTGGGAGGCCAGAAGACCTGAATGCAAATGTAGCTTTGGTCACTTCCCAGCTGTATGACCCTGAACAAGTCACTTAACCCTGCTTGCCTCAGTTCCTCATCTATAAAATGAGCAGGAGAAGGAAATGGCAAATCACTCCAGTGTCTTTGCCAAGAAAACCCCAAATGGGGTAATGAAGAGTTGGACACAACTGAACAAAAACAAAAACAAATATATATGTGATGGAATACTATCAAGCTATAAGAAATAAAGTAATAGATGATTTCATATGCAAAAAACATAAAAGAACAGATAAAGAGTGAAGTAACCATAACTGGAAGAACAAAATATACTATAACATCATTATTATAAAAATGAACAATTTTGAGGACTTTTATAAACTGGTGAAGAATAAAATGAGCAGAAACAGGAAAATAATACAATATAATACTATAAAAATAAACAACTTTGAAAGGTGTGGGAATTCTATCAATACAATGATCATTCAAGATTTCAGAGGACTGATGATGAGACATTTTATCTATAACAGAGAGGTGATGGATTTAGGAAGCAGAGTAAGACATATTTTTGCATATAACCATTGAAGGAATTTGTTTTGCTTGATTATATACATTTGTCACAAGGAATCTGTTTTTTTTCCCCAATAGTGTAGAGGAGGGAAAAAAAATAGATTTCTGTTCATTAAAAAAATAGATGGAGGGGGAGGCTACAGATGTGGAATGTTACATGCACTTTCAGATGAGACCACTCTATTAGTTTTACTTAATTGTTTTGCTTTGCTATAAGAGATGTCTCACAGAGTAGATGTAATCTGCAAATAAAATGTAAAAACAAAACACATCAATAATTTTTTAAAAGAAGAAACAAAACTATAATGTTTAAAAGTGATTCAAATAGCAAAAACAAAACAAAACAAAACAAAACGAAAATCTGTTTTCACAGAGAAATGCTCTGCCTGGGCCCAGCGACAGCTTCAGGCCTTTACTTACTCCACCAAAACCCCATACACAGCTAATTCCAGCAAATCTACTGAAAATAGACCATGACCTCAGCCTCACAGTCTCCCCACAGGAATTGCCATGAAAAGATGGAGATCATGGAAGAAATTCAGCCCTATTGTCAAGTTTCCTGGTGCCCTAGTTGGATGGAACTTCTCTATATTTCAGCTTCTTACCCTCATTTTAGCTGTTTCAGAACACAATGGCTTTGCATTTGGGTCTAGTTGTACACAGCTGACCCCTACTATTAGCAGCCAATCCATTGTTCCTCTTTCCCCTCCCTCAGAGGATCTCAAGGTTGGAAGAGACCTCTGAAGTTCCAATCTATTCCCTTTTCTACAACATTTCAGGTAAAAAAGAAAAAGCACTCATCCAGCCTCCACTGGGAGACCCTGTAGCAGATGGGGAATTTGCAGGAAAGTTCATTACATAAAGATGGATTTCACAAAGAGTGTCTCTGTCTGTCTGTCTCTCTTTCTCTCTCTGGAACTCTCTGATTTGTCCTTAATGTGTTGTATAAGACCCAAGTGCTGGACCACTGGGCAGCGCTGTTAGACAAGGTCCTATTGCTGAGCTGATTTCCAGACTAAGAACTCAAACTCATGGATAAAGCACTGTTCTGGGTTAGCTTAGAGAAGCTTCTACCCAGAACAAACCCATATTCCTGGCTGGAAACCATCCAGCTGGCCTACTACAGAGGGATGTTATCAGAGCCTCCACCTGCTATTAGAAGCATTACTTTCCCCTTACTTATCTTTGCTACCATTTTAATAAAGTTTTTTTTGCTACTATCTTGTGGTTCACATTGCCCCTATGTTCCTGTGATCCCTGAACTTAGGACTTCCTGAGTCAATAAATGGGAAAATGAGCCTCCTACACTACTACTTCTGGAGGCAGTTCATTCCACTTTTGGATAGGTCTAACTGTTAAAAAAAAGGGGGGGGGGGGTTTCTTTACTTTGAGCCAAAATCCTTCTTTAATTTCTATCATATACAATGCTAGGAATAACAGGTGAAAATTGTAGGGAAAGAAATATTTTGGCTTGATGTAAGAAAAAGTTATCTAATAATTAGAACCTAACTTTAGTTAAAGGTACAGCTAGGTGGTGCAATTGATAGAGTACAGGGCCTAAAGTCAGAAGGACTCATCGTTCTGAGTTTGAAACTGGCTTCAGACACTTACTAACTGTGTGACTCTAGGCAAGTCACTTAAACCTATTTGCCTTAGCTTTTCATCTATAAAATGAGCTGGAGAAGGATATGGCAAACCGCTCCAGTATCTTTGCCAAGAAAACCTCAGATGGGGTCACAGAGAGTCGGATATAGCTGAAACAAATGAACAACAACAACTATACACATACATATGTATGTATGTGTGTATGTGTATTTTTATGCAGATGTATATGTATGTACATGTATATATGGTATGAAATGTACAAATACATTATGTAAACACATACACATGTACATATATATACATATACATATGTACATATATGTATATCCACTGAATTGTATACTAATTACATTTGTAAAGGCAAAACTAGGTGTTGCAAGAAGTAGATTAAAAAATTAATAAGTAGGTTTCAACACCCTACTGACAGAATATGACAAATATAAAAAACAATAAAAATGAAGTTACAAACTTGAACAGTGTTGAAGAAACAAGATTTAATAGCTATATGAAGAGGACTTAATGAGAATAAAGCAAGCATTTTACCTGGGAAAAATAAATTAACTCATTAGTACATTATGAACTCATCAGCACAAATCAGTTAGTCTATTGGACTTGTTAATTGGAACCCTGTAAAGAAGGGGTTCTTATCCTAAGTACTATGAAATTCCTTTTAAAAAATATTTTGATAACTTTCAATATAATTGGTTTCCTTTGTAAGTCTATGCATTTTAGGTATTTAAAAACATTTTTGGAAGAGTCCATAGGTCTGACCAGCGTATCCAAGAAGGCCATGAAACAAAAAACAAAAAAACAAAAAAGGTTAAGAACCCCTTCTGTAGAGCACAGCTTTGAGGGAATGGGATGCAAAACAAACAAGATTTGCTAATGCAGAACTGAGTAGAGTGTTACAATGGTGAGAACCACAGCAGCCAAGAGACAATGATTGGGCACCAGCACCTATGGAGAACGGACAGAAGAGAGTGACAAAAGGGAAAAAAGAAAGGCACTGAAAAGGGAGATGGAGGGGAAGAGGAAAATGCTGAAGAAACTCAGGGCCTTTTACAATTCTGTTTGTGGTTAAACTTGATACTTGACTTCTGGCAAGAGAAATGACTGTGTGCTAGAGTTTGAAAAGGCATTATTAGGTCAGGGTCATCCTGATTAGGAACAGTCCTTTCCCACTGGGCTTCTTAGAATTCACTTCAGTTCCTAGAATACAGAGAGCACTGGGAAAGTGGAAATTGAGCCCCGATCCCCTTGCCTTTTATAGCTACATATATACTCTCTCAGGCATTATCTACACACCAGACCAGAAGATGCCCCAACCATACACCTAAATTACCAAGATTCTTAGGCCTTTAGGGGTCGAGGGTGTGTATTTGAGAGGCTAACTCAAATAATAATAGCTCAACTTTTTGTAGGCATACAAAATAAACCTGCAAAGTGGGTGGTGAAAGTATTATTCCCATTTTACAAGAAACTGAGGCTCAGAGAAATATTTAATTTATTATTTAATTATTTAAATTGACCCAAAGTCATAGCGCAAGTAAGAGTTCAGGAGTAAAGAGTCAAATGCAGGTCTCTTGACTTAAGCAAATCATTAACATATTTTGGCCTTAGTTTCCTCATAAGTAAAATGAAGGGTTTGGATTGGATGAGCTCTCAAAGTTCTTTCTAGCGCTGAATATTCAAGTCCATGAATGTTTGACTCCAAGTATTCACTCATTGATTTCACTATACCACCCTGTCCCTATATATTGACACCTGACAGTCTATTACCCAGAATTCTATTAAACTAATGTTTGTACATGATTATTGTCCATAATGAAGATATCAGGCTAACGTGAGTTTTGTCCTAAGCACCAGTATGTGGGAGTGCATGATTATTCCCCCACCTGTAACCATGGAGAACCAGCTGCCCACTCCCACAGTCACCCTAAGGCTACCATACCCTCAGGGTCTCCATTGTACCACCTGGCCTGGGGGAGCCAGTCCATGCAGAATGTCCAGGCTCAGTATAAGTATGGGGAGGCACGGAATCACCAGTAACCTGAACATGAATTCAGGTTAATGTTTAAATTAGTTATACTTTCACCTCCCCAAGAGGCATGATGAACAATCTTTTATAGAAACAAAAGGATTTCCTCTCAGTATGTACAGCACAGAAGCTTCTAAGCAGATTAGGGCCTAGACTGTAACAAAGCTGGAGGAGCACCTTCTTTCTGGGAGAATACTTGCGCTAGGGTACTATTCGAGGGAACCAAATCCACTGGCCGTTTGCCTTCCGCATTCTTTGAATGTGGCTCTGCTCCAAAGTCTATCAGCAAATGAACCAGGTCCGAATTGGAGTTCCTGGCTGCCACATGAAGAGGAGAATCCAGCTCTTTGCCTTGATTAGCATTTGCTCCTAAACAATTATAACAAGGAGAGAGAAAAAAAATCTATCTTATTCAGATACCAGGTTGCAACTGCAAAATTCCTTTCAAAATGTTGGTCCCCGACTTCCCTGAGCAAACAGCAGCTACACTCTCCAGGGGACATGTTCAAATTTGTTGTTGAAAGGGGATGAGACTTGGTCTGAAAAACTGTTATTTTATTATGTGAATCAATGTGCAGCTTCAGTTAATTTCCAAATGAGATGATAATCTCACCTCTGCCACCCTGCAGATCAAACACTTTAGATACTTAAACACTTGGATGGTTCTGTGGTGTGCACCCTCCACCTAATGTCCTTCTATTCTGTACAATTCCTATAAATACTCCAAGAGGATTCCCCCAGGCTGACAGCTTTCTCTCCTGGTTCTTGTAATATCATGAGTTAACCATGTGCCATTTGGGCTACTCATCTATAGTCTCCCATTCTCATGACATGACTGGCCATCTTGTTTTCCAGCAAGTCAGGTCCTTGATGAAGGCAGGCAACACGTTACAGTGGAAGGACTTATGGTCCTAGAATCAGATAACCTGGGTCTGAACCCTGGCTGTGATGCTTACTATCAATATGTCCTTTAATTCTTTGGGCCTTTGAAAATGAATGGCTTGGACTGGATGAGGCAGCATGGTTTAGGAGATAACTACTGAACTTGGAATCAGAAAGACTTGGATTTGACTCCAACTCTTAATAGCTGTATGTCCATGAACAAGTCATTCAACTCCTTTGGACCTCAGTTTCCCCATCTGCAAAATGAGGGAATTAGACTCAATGACCTCTAAGGTCTCTTCCAACTCTAAAACTATAATTCTATGATCTCTGAGACAAACTTCTCTGGGAAAGTTACCATCATTAATATCTTGCAGCCTATTTAAACGTATCTTTCTTCAGTGCTTTGGGCAATGAACAATTTTGGTCATTCTAGAATTCTGATGTCACATAAGTCATAGGTACTGCTTGGGCTTTTGCAGCAGTAAGCATGTTAGGATAAATAAAAATGCTATGCAATTTCTGAAATGCATAACAGCGTAGTCTCCTTTCCTACTCAAATCTGTGCTCCTCTCATTGTCTCCCTTCACTGTCTATTCAAGGTATACGTATAGAGACAAACCAACTCTAAGTCATCCAGCTGAATGTCATAATTTAATCAAGGAACACTGATTACTTTCTCAGTTGGATATTTACAGATATTAATACTCAGTAGGGTCACTTATGAAAGTTATCTCCATGAGAAAATACTAATAAGACTCATAATTTTTTATTATTCTCCTACATAAGGTCTTGCAAATTATCTTATATTCTAAAGCGGTATTGCCCTCCTCTGACATGTCTCTCCACTTGGCAAAGGGATCAAGTAACTGATGGCTAAGACAGTCTCTGAGCCCTTTTGTTAGTCAATAAAAATTTATTAAGAACCTACTACATGCCAGGCACTGTGCTAAGGGCAGGGGATACAGAAAGAGGCAAAAGACAGTTCCTGCCCTCAAGCGGATTACATCCTCATTGGGAAGACAACAAGCATACAAACAAGCTATATACAGGATAAACAGGAAATAATTAACAGAGAAAGGACACCAGAATTAAGAAGGATTGGGAAAGGCTTCCTATGGAAAGTGGGATTTTAGTTGGGACTTGTAGGAAGCCAGTAAGCAAAGGTTAAAAAGGACAGCATTCAAGGTATGGGGCAGAGCCAGAGAAAATGCCCAGAATCAAGAGATAGAGGGTCTTATTCATAGAACAGTCAGGAGGCCAGAGTCATCGAACTGAAGAATACATGGTAGAGAGTAAGGTATAAGATGGAAAACTAGGGAGGACGATGTCCTACAGGTCTTTGAATGCCAAACAGAGCATTTTGTATTTGATTCAGGTTGTAAAATTTTTGTATCTGTTTAGTTTTTCTAAGAAATAGAACAGTGATAATTTCTTTAAATTCTGTCCATTTCTCATATTTTGCTTACTTAAACAGGTCAGACTGGACTTGCTAGAATTGCATATATTATCTTCTAATTTCTATCCTTCTTTTCTAATCTGATGTTTACTTTGATCTTCTCTATAAACAGTTGACTTCACTTCATGCAGCAGTTATTGTGAAATGATTCTTATCTGTAACTATTAATATCCTACCAATTAAACTATGATTAAATTCATTCATGGTGATGCTGTCCTGAGCCCATCACTCAATTCTCATTTCAAAGAAAGTAATCAAGAGGTACAGATACAAAATTTCTAAGTACTCTCTACAAGGCATTCTCTTTCATTTCCTTCTTGACCTTGAAACATATTTTCCTACAGTTTTCATAGTCCTCCCTTTTGTTGACTTCACACTAAAGTCATTGAGTATCAAGGTGTCTGTTGACTAAAGTCTAGAGGACGTTCCACGCTATTCATAGAATTCCCAGGCTTCTCTTTTAAAACAAATGTTGGTACACATATTGTAATTATCTTCGTAGACATCATGCCCACCAGGAATATTACAAAGGGAGAGAAGTAAGTGCCTCATGAAATAATGTTTATTGCTATTTTGGCTGTAAGATGAAACCGACTATGCCAGCTCTTTGATTTGCCTCTCTAAAGAGACACTGGGAGCCATTCTTCCTACATCTTTCTTTCCTATATCTTCTTGTCTAATTTACTACATGAATGTCAATGTGCATGCCATTCAGTTCCTCCAGCAGCATGTTAACTCACTGATTCATTGAGAACAAGTGAAATAAAACCCAGAAATACTTTGAAGTCTGAAAGTTTCATGTTCATATTTAATGTTAATGAAACAAATATAGTGCCAGAATAAGGGTATGTAGTGGTATCTCCTTCAATATTAGACAGCGTAACCACAACTTTACCAGGTCACTTTGGAGACTAATGATTAAAGTCAGGTGGTGGTGGTGGTCATAGTGGTGATGGTGGTAATAGTAGTAGTTTGTAGTAGTAGTAGTAATAGTAGTAGTAGTAGTAGTAGTTGTGGTAGTGGTGGCATAGTGGTGGTGAGTGTCAGTAGTACTAGTATTGGTGGTGGTAGTAGTAGTAGTAATAGCAGTGATGGTAGTAGTACTAGTAGCAGTGGTAGCAGTAATAGTAGTAGTGTTGGTGGTAGTGTTGGTGGCAATAAGAGGAGGAGGAGGAATAGCAGCAGTGGTGGTAGTGGTGGTGGTGGTGGTGGTAGTGGTGGTGGTGGTAGTGGTAGTGGAGGCAGTAGTTGTGATAGTAGTAGTATGGTGATAGTGGTAGTCATCATAGTGGCGGTGGTAGTGGTAGTGGTTGCAGTAGTAGGATTAGTAGTGGTGATGATGGTGATGGCAGTAGTAGTAGCAACAGTAGTGATGGTGGTGGTTGTTGTGTCATGGAAGTAGTAGTAGAAGTAATAGTTGTAGTGGTGGTGGAAATAGTAGCAAGAGTGGTGGTGGTGGTGGTAGTGATGGTGTTAGCAATAGTAATGATAGTAGTAGTGGTGGTGGTGATAGTATAGTAGTAATATTAGTAATGCTAGTAGTAGTGGTGGTGGTAGTAGAAGTAGTAGTAGTAGTAGTAGTAACTTGCATTTATACATTTATAAAGAGCTTTAGGATTTGCAAAGTACTTCCTTCACAACCACCTTGTATGATAGGTACTATAATTATCCCCATTTTATAGATGAGGAAACTAGGGCTCTGAGAGTGACTTGCCTATGATCACAAAGCTAGTGTCAGAGGCAGCAGTCACACCCAGGTCTCCTAAATTCACAGCCAGCGCTATATATACAATGTCACTTCCAGGGTACTGAGTGATTCTGAGAATTTTGAGGGATTTTCTAAGCTGGGGTGGCCAATACTAAAATCAAAGAGAAAGTTCAGAAGAATTCCCATTGAAAGGAAGGTGGCTTTTGAGCATTATTGGACTCCATGCCACCGTACCGCTGAATCCATCTCCCAACTCATAGACATTGCACTGGAGTTCTGAGACTTTAAATAATCTATTACCCAAAACATGGATGGAGAGGGAAAAAAAATGGGCTTTCTCAAATTAAGATTAGAATTAGGGACTGAACCTATATTTCATTGGTTATAGAAAACTCCTTTAACTTATGCACATCTGTAATTACTCTGAAATTTATAGTTTTGAAGATGTACCTACCAGCTCAAGGCCGCATGGCCATTCTATAACAGAAGTGAGATTGAACACACTTCTTCCTCACTTTGAAGCCAGATCTCTATAAACTATTCCATGCAGCCTGTCACAATGAATCAATCAATATTCATTGAACAGCTAGGATGAGCAAAATGCAGTGCAAAAAACACAAGACCGCCTATGTCCTCAACACAAATCTACTATTTACCAGCTATGTGACCTTGGGCAAACCATCTATGGAGATGATGGTAACACATTCCCAATCTATATCAAGGGGCAACATGAGGATTAAATGAGACCATGTATGCAACAGCATCTTGAAAACAATCAAGTACATACTTCAATAGTTCAAAGTTCCATGATTTTATTATTGTGGGCATTCCCTCCACTAAAATAGATCACAACCACTTCATACCTTAGGAGACAATCCTCTTGAGTTGCTGTGGCCAAACAAAATGTCATTACCCAGTGGCCAACCTCTGGATAGCTCTCCAAACTGAATTAAGCCTCATCCTCAGATAAGAGACACGTAATCCATCACCACGTCTATACTTAAAGCCTTTCTACCTTGGTAGGATCATCCAGTCAATAAATATTTATTAAGCAGCCACCATGTGCCAGGAGAGGCAACTACATGGTACAATAGATGGAGTACCAGGCCTGGAGTGAGGAAGACTCATCTTCCTGAGTTCAACTCTGGCCTTGGACACTTACTACCTATGTGTCCCTGGGTAAGTCACTTAACCTTGTTAGCCTCAGTTTCCTCATCTGTAAAATGAGCTGGAGAAGAAAATGGCAAACCATTTCAGTTTCTTTGCCAAGAAAACCCCAGATGGGGTCATGAAGAGTCTGACATGACTGAAATAACTGAACAACAAATATATAAATATGTGTATATGTATATGTATATATACACACATATATTTGTATATATATGTGTATGTGTATATGTGTATATATCTTCTTTATATACAGATATACACATGTGTGTATAAATCTTTATATACATCTTCACATACAAGATCTATGTATAGATCTTTAAATACATAGATCTATATACATATACATACACATACATGCCCACATATCAAAGTACAACACAAGACAATAAATACTAGCAGGGAGGTACAGACCATAAGAGCTATAGTAGTCCAGGGGAAGGAGCCTCTCTGGAGCGGTTAGGAAGGTATCCACAGAGAAGGCGGGACTTCATCAGTATCTTGAACATGGGAAGCATTCAGAAAAGCAGAGAGGAAAGATAACCATACTCCAGGAAGAAGGAAGAACATAAGGAAAGAAACAATGACAGAATAAAAGAAAGCATGACTGAAGGGTAATGAGCAGGCAAGTTTTATTGGAAGATGTTCACAGTAGATGGGGGGAAAAAACGGGCTAGGGGTAGGGAGGGGTTCACTCTTGGTTGTGACTGCAAGCACAGAATGGGATCTAGGATAACAAAGAATGCAATTATAGTCATATCAGTTTTGCAAGAAATTTGGAGTGTATGCATATATTTGGGAAAAGGAAAAAGGGAATGAAATCTCACATGAAAAATTGTAAACAGAACAAGAAAAAGGTTTGGAAAATAGTATTATATATTTACTATAAATATTTTAATATATTATCATAAATATAGATATTTTTATAAAATAATAATAAAATACATTATTTATATATTTATACATTATAAACTTTTCTATTTGTGTATTACATAAATTCTATATTATTATAAATTATAAAATTATTTCTTTTTATTTAAAATTTAAATTTTATTTAAATAATATACTTTACTTTATTTTATTTCATTTTTTACCTGATTCAAGTAGCCTCTTTGCACAGGCTATCTGCTGATTTTCACAAGCCACATAAAGAGGAGTGCCAAGGTGTCTGATATTTTCATTTATATTTGCTCCATGAGATACAAGGGATTCCATACACCCCAGGTGACCTACGGGCCAAAGACAAAACAGTCAGTTAATAGTATAATTGCTGTTGATTGTTGTGTGTCCTTCATTCTCAAAAAGAACCAATGACATCAAGAGGGTGATGCCTTGACTTGCAAGTGATTTGGATTTAAGTGAGGCAGAGCTGTGCAAAGTCGTCAGCCTCATTCTCTTCTCCACGGTCATCTGAGTCTAGTAGCAAGACATAGCATAATGTATCTTATTTAAAGGCAATGGTTTTCCTCTTGCCAGACCTTGATATCTGGAAATGGCTTATCTATAAAGCTGAGCAGAGAGTGAGCAAGTTCAAACAGAAAATCTGAATGCTTCTAAGACCTTTGCTTTAAACACCTGTGAGTCTCTCCTCCACCCACAGCCATCCTATCCCCTCCATCCCTTTCATGAGTGCTGTGGCCAAGCTTTTTACCATCTGGTTATCTACCCTTTGGTGAGGGGTTTGTTTGAACTTAACTAGGCTGCTCCTCAAAGGACAGAAACACAGTCAGTCCATTGCCAAGCTGCATTTGAAGACTTTCCAGCATGGAAGGACCTGTCAAACACTCCCATTCAGCTGGCAGAGCCTTCATGAACCTCAGGTGAACTCCGTATCATGATAAGGTTTCTCAGGAAGGTTGTGATGGAGGGGAAATTAATTAGCGGGCTAATTCTGAAAACAAAAACAAAAAAACTTCCAGTGGCCTGGGACAAACTGCCTTTATTTTTCTTTCATTCTTGATATATTATCAGTACTAAAATAGAAATAAAATACAGTTGGGGAGGAAATCAGGCACCCCATGTGGATTTGGGGGCAAAGATGTAAACTCATCCTCTGTAGGCTCACTACAGGGCCTAGGAGTGTGGGGCAAGAGACAGGCAAAAACAAAAAGGTTGAAAAACCTTGCTCAAATTGAGCTTGCAGATGCCTCTGGTGTCCACATATAAAACTGAGGAAAAAAAGAGGTACATAATGATGATCAGGGAGCAAACATGTAAGGCAAACATGGCCAGATTAAACTGAACTGGCTGGTCTTTAAGTCCAAAACTTCAGATTTTAAAAATGTGTTCTTTTTTTTAAAGTTTCCATAAATCTTTACACTAGTACTAGTGCAGTGAATATAAGATAGAGCCAGTTCTTCTCTTAATAAACCAGTTTCCTTTTCATTCAGCAGGAAATAAAGAATTTGCAGTAACCCTCCAGAGCTAAACATGAAAGCTTGGGATTCATGGAAAAGAAAAAAGAATTAGCATTCTTAGGCTACAGCCTCTTGCAGTTGCAAAAATATTTTCCAGATAAGAAACTGACCAACTTTGCTTAACAAAGGGCCCTGGCTCTGTGACAATTGGTTTTTTAATTCTTTTTGATGACTTTAAATAATAGGACCTATATACTTTTTATTTTAACACCTGATTTATTTGGGGCAGGGGTCCTCATAAAAGCTTTGAAACATCCCTCTGTTAGCTTGTTTTCTTTCAAGTGCAAGGTGATACTCACTGGCTCAATAAGAATTAAGCCCCTGTTGCAAAACAGGTGATATGGATACAAAGACAAAACCCCAAAAGGCAGTCTCCCTCCTTAAGAAAGTTGGGATTGAGGGAAAGAAAAAGAAAGGAGCTGAGAACTGCTAATGGTGCAATCAGAAAGATGTCATTTGATGGTTTTTCAGTTGCATCTGACTCTCTGTGACCTCTTTTGGACTCTTCTTGGCAAAGATACTGGAGTGGTTTGCCATTTCCTTCTCTAACTCACTTTACAGGAAATTGAGGCAAACATGGCTAACTGTCTTGCCCAGGGTCACACTGGTAGATTTGAACTCAGGAAGAAGAGTCTTCCTGACTCTAGGCCCATTGTGCCACCTAGATGCCCATAATCTTTTGCAAATTCACCTCTTTTGACAGCTTCATGGATCGGAGATGCAAGATCACACACAGCATGAGGACTTGCTCCATGTTCTAACAGTAAGTTCACACAGTCCTGGCTTCCACTTACACAGGCATTATACAGAGGCGTGTGCCAATCAACAGTCACTCCATCCACCTGAAGAAGAAAAAAAAGACAGATGTATCTGTGGAAGGCAAATAATTAACAGTGCAATTTTTAAATAAACTCCCTGTGGCCTGGGATCAAACTGCCTTCAATTTTTAATTTTTTTTTTTCATTTTGGGAATATCATCAATACTAAAATAGAAGTGAAATACAGTTAGAGAGGAAACTGGACACTTGATGTGGAGGTAGGGACAAAAAGAGGGGCACATTCTTTGAAAAACATTTTCCAAGTAGAGATGTTAGATAATAGTCAGAGGATTGTTAACCCCTGTCTTCCTGGGTATGTCGTCATTTATCACTCATGTATTCCCTCAGTAATACCTTTACCAGGTTCTTTTCCCTCCCCAGAAATTGGATGAGAAGTAGGAAACACAGAAAATAGGAACTGTTAGCAGATATTCCCTGTTGGCACCAAAGAAAATGATGATAGAAAATCAGGGTCAATTTATGTACTTATGGTAAGGTTTCAGGCTCTCTCTTAAGAGACAGCAATTTCCCATTTTTACATGCTTGAGGTGCACTGTCTCAGTATAAGGCCCACCTGGATGCCAGATTGAATTCAGCAAAGTGAGGAAGATGTAAATGGATGGTTTCTAAGAGCTCTTCCAGCTCTATTGAGCTATGTCATTCTGAGCTGAAAATATAGACATCACAGTAATATTCATTGGAATTGGAATTCATCATTTTAGTTTTTTCTTAGGATTAAAAAAAAAACTTGACTGATATAATCTTCTGCAGAAAACCATTGTCAGCATCTAAAAATCTGTGTGAACAAAGCACTCAAAAATATCCTGGAGGAATTAACCAGTTTTATTTTTTTCATCCCAGTTTCTAAGATGAGATATGAAAGGAACTGACCTGAGCCCCATGCTTCAACAGAACACTGGCACAAGTTGAGTGGCCCCCTAGACAAGCTTCATGAAGTGGAGATACTCGATCAGCTGTAATGAGGTTTACACCATACCCCTTGTGAAATGAGAACAGGCAAAGTATAAGGGAGTAGAAACCAACCTACAATACCAGGTGGTTATCTTTAAAGTAACTCTGCAAGAGTCAATATAGCAATCATGACTAGATCTTATGGACTGTTAGGACCTAGTATTAAATGTTGTCAGAAGTAACAGGTGGGTGTTTCAGACTAGAAATGCACATTTTTTTGAAATTAAAAAAAAGAAAAGAAAAAAGAAATTATAACAAATATTTATTTTAGCACCCTTTAGAAACCTAAAGCATTTTGTTGATTGAGGAACATAAAAAATGTATTACGTACAATTCTATGAAGAAAATTATATTTTTAGGGTATGTATTAGCATCAAGGTTTTGGCCCCCAGTATGACAGATGAATTCACAGGAAACTATAAAAAAGAATTGTATAGTATGAACAGGCATGAATGGTTTGTGTTTGGCATCTCTTGAGTGAAGATCTATTGCAATGAGATCATAGACCCACTGGAAAATGTAGATATGGAGAAAGAAAGAAGAAAGAAGTTTCTGGGATTTTTTGCCATATTTCAAAAAGTATACTTTCCCCAATTTTCCTCCATTTCTAAATTGCTAAATCTGCCTTACTTGCCTTCTCTGAGATAAGGGTATGAATATTATCTATTTGTAGGAAAAATGACGTAAGAGAAATAATAAACTGTTATTCAATTGTACAAATTATTCAACAGTTCAAGTTTTAACACAATCTTTGAGTTTTCTCTGTCCCAGAGACCAAAGACATTAGCTCATGTAAATCTTTAGGGTCAACAGATCCTTTCTCTAACTCTATCCTTCAATAACATTTCCTGTTTGAAATCCATGCAATTGGTCTATACCATCCTTTCCCCATCCTTGTTGTTGTACCCTGTCAAAATCCAGGTTATTCTTTCAATTTTTTAAATTATAATAACTGAAATTTACTTAGCACTTAAATATGACAGTAATCCCCATTAGCCTATAAGCTACTTGAAAGTAGGGACTGTTTTACTCTTGGAATTTGTATCCCAAGCACTAAGCACTGGCCTTGAACATAGTAGGTGTTTAAATAAATGCTTGTTGATCAATTATCTCATTACTCCAAGGGTTAAGGAAAATTATGGTATAATTGGCTCCCTGACCTCTAAAATCTTGGTTGTTGTTGTTATTAAGTGATGTCAGACTTTTCACAATTCCATTTGAGGTTTTCTTGGCAAAGATACTAGAGTGGTTTGCCATTTCCTTCTCCAGGTCCTTTTACAATTGAAGAAACTGAGGCAAACAGGGTGAAGTGAGTTGCACAGAGTCATACAGTAAGTGTCTGAGGCCAGATTTGAATTCAGGAAGATGAGTCCTCCTGACTCCAGGCCTGGTGCTCTAATCACTGCACTGCCTAGCTGCCCCCAATCTAAAGTCTTATCCAGCTCTAAATCGGTGATCCTACAATCCTGAAACACTGAAATGGCTTTTTAGCCATTTACTCCTCTTCTGTGTTGTGCTTCAGAGCTATGATTGCTTTATTCTACAAGAAAAACAGAAAAATGTCAAAGTTGCTGGCCCTAGACTGAGACTCTTTGAGAGAATTATCAGAAGACTTGCAAAAGTTGTTTTTCTGTTTTTGTTTTTTTCTTATGGGTGGCCCTTAGGGAGCTGTTGTTCATCCTTTGGAAGAGGACCGATGACATCACAAGTGAGTTGGATTTAAGTGAGGCAGAGTTGCACAAAGTTATCCTCACTCTCTGTTCCAGAGCCAACAAAGTTCAGTGGCAGGACACAAGTCAAGACAACTGGTGATGGCCCAGGATGCAGTGGATGACACCTTGGTGTCTTCAATGTCTGGCCAAGCTCTAAGCTCTCCACAGCACCTGCTTCAGCTGCCTCCATGGCCATTGGAACAAATTGTTCTCATCTGCCCATTCCACCCGGGGAAGTCTTCACATGCTTGGGGCAGGCATCCCCCTAATTCACCAATGGGTTCAAGGCCTGTCGGTTACCCTCAGTCTAGTTTAGTCCATTTACTGAGATGGTTTTACCAGCATGTGGCTCCTGCACATGTTACAGTTTCTTGGAGCCACATGTGAGAGTTAAGGGCCAGGTGGACATCAAAGGTGGATGAGCAGCCCTGAAAAGGCTTCAGCAAGCCCTCACACCAGAGGTGGTACGAGGTAACTAGATTCAATTTTTAGAAATATTTTTGAGGCAACTTTAATTACATGGTTTCTCTGATTAATGACTCTAATATCTTGATCTTTCTTCCCAGAAAAATGAAAATTCTTTTCCTATGCCATTTCAATAAATTGCCTCATATAGTATATTTGGCACAATCCCAATATTTTTCATTTTTGTGAGCACTTAAAAGAGTTCATCCTACATAATTCTGCATTCTCTGTTTTCCATTTCTAGTTGGAAAACCACCCAGATTAGGAGGTACCTGATATTCTGGACATAAACTAGGTGTGGGATCCAAAAGGGGCTCAAATCCATGACCTTTTAAGGGTGACACTGAAGAAGAGTCTAGAAAGAACCCACTGGCTGTCATTATATCTCTGCTTGTCGTTCACAGTCTGAAGAGGGCAGGGACTGTGTCTTCCCCATTCCTTAAGAACTTCATCTCATCTGGTACACAATGAACATCCATGAAAGGCTGACTGACCAACTGACCTTCACCTGAATCTTAGTATGGCCTTTTGTTCTTGGATGAGTACACCATAGGCCTCCACAGGATATGGTATCAGCTACTTTCTAAATTTCTCTGCTATGCTGTGGACAGCTGCAGCACAATTATAACTCTTTTTTTTTCCTCCTTGATGGAGCAGATTTTAAGATTAAGGAAGAATGTTCCTGAGCAAGAATTATTTATTGGCTCTCCAGATATATTAGACTTACTACTTCTGCCATGACTGGCTTTTTTTTTTTCCCCAAGGAAAAAAACAAACACAGATGTGCTTTATCTATGTGCATATTTCATGAAAATTCAAAATTAACAACAAACTATTATATGTTACAAAAAGACTCACCCTGAGGCTCCTTTAACTCATAGTTTTTCCCAAAATGAATTTAATTTAATTAATGAATTGTTAGCAGATCTGCTGCAATTCAACATTCTGGTTGGAATGCCCTCCCCTTCTAAGTTCACCAAGCAAAACCCTGTCTATCCTGCAGAGTCCAGGTCAAGTGCTGGTCTCTTCATGAGTCCCTTCCAGATGTTCCAGGAAGATATGACCACTTGCCCACTCCATGATATGTTGTTATAGCCCTTACTATATTTTTCAAGTAGCTTGTACTGTAAGACATACCTGCCTTCTACCTCCTACTAGAATGTATGCTCCTCAAGAGGACAAATGTCTGGCATCTTCTTTTGGAAAAAAAAAAAAGTCTTGGCTTCTGTATTCATAGGAGCTGGGCTCAAATCCCATTTCTAATCCTTACTACTCATGCAGTCTTGGACAGGGACAACTAGATGGCACGGTGGATAGAGTGCTGGACCTGGCGTCAAGAAGACCTGAGTTCAAATCTGGCCTTAGAAACTTAATAGCTGTGTGACCCTGAGTAAGTCACTTAACCTTGTTTGCCTCAGTTTCTGTGGCATGAACTGGAGAAAGAAATGGCAAACCACTCCAGTGTCTCTGCCAAGAAAACCCCACAAAGAGTCAGACACTACTGAAATGACTGAATAACAGCAAAGGACCCTCTACCTTCTTCAGAAACGAAATTTTCTCTATCAATGAAAGATTATTTAGCAATGGATCGGTGATGTAACTAGGATAAGGAGCTTCCGGAAAGGAAACTCATGAATTATTTTACAATTTATAAGCTTAGAGAGTTTCCAGGGGACCCTGAGAGTGAACCTTCCAAGGTCACAGAGCCAGTATGTATCAGAGTAAGGAATTTACCCGGCACTTCCTCACACCAAGGATGCCTCTCAGCTATTTACAAAGAAGTGAAAATGGTAAAGGAAATAGTAGAGATAAATAGCTTGTTCTAAAAGGGAGAAAAAAGGAAAAAGAGGGAGGACATAGAAGATTTTACAAGCTTAGTGACAGGATACCACATATACATGCTCCTTCATCCTTGCTTCTTGGCTAAGTGCAGAGAAAGGAAGCAAGGTTTCTGGAGTTAAAAAGACAAATTAAACCTTCCCTATAATTAACTTGCCTCAGCAAGGTATATTGATCAGGGTTAGAGAAAGAAATTAAAGGTTAAGTAACCCAGGGCCAAGCAAGTCTGAATATTGAGGACAAACTGTCAACAAACCTGAGGTAAAGCTAATGATGGTGAAAAAGGGACCAATTTGTTTCTACTCATTCCTTTATTTCAGTAGCTTGCTCTAAAGCAAGGATTTTTAACTACTTTTTGTTTTATGGACCCTTTCGGTGGTCAGTCTGGTGAAGCCTATGGACCACTTCTCAGAAGAATGTTTTTAAGTACATAAAATAAAATATGTAAGACTACAAAGGGAACCAGTTATATTGAAATAGTTATATTATTTCTTTTTAGTTCATGGACCCCAGGTTAAGAATCTCTAACATAAAATAATTTACACACTTCTAGTTAAAATTGTTTAAATCAGTTCAATTCAACAAATATTTCTGCTAACATCTATTATGTTCAAAGCATTTCAACATTTTGTTGTCATTCAGTAATTTCAGTTGTGTCTGACTCTTCATATCCCCATTTGGGGTTTTCTTGGCAAAGATTCTGGAGTGGTTTGCCATTTCCTTCTCCAGCTCATTTTACAGATGAGGAAACTGAGGCAAATAGGGTTAAGTTATGTGCCTGGCGTCACACAGCCAGTAAGTGTCTGAGGTTAAAATTGAATTCAGGGCTTCCTGGCTCCAGGCCCAGCACTCTATCCACTGCACCACCTAGTTGCCCATTTATTAAATGCTTAGTGTGTGTTACAGTATTTTTTGATAAAGCAGGGAGCTGTATGAGGAGAAAGATTTGTTGCAAATAAGGGAAATCAGGAAAGCCTGCATAAAGGAGGTGACATTTGAATTAGGCTTCAA